CACAAAATCACCAACAATAAAATGCAAACATAAAACCTAAAATCTAACTCAAAATATTACCAAAAAAAATTTTAATATCACTGGTACGGAAATAACACTGCTGATAACTAATTAAAGTATTTAAATCCCAATTTATTTATATCCAATCCCTTTTTATTGTAAGTAAATAAATATACAAATACATAAAACAGAGTAAATGATTCAATAAAACAAGCACTTTATGGCTGTATTTTCAGCTAATGTCCTCTGAAGATGTTTGCATCAACATTTCTATGAATGACTGTGTTTACGAATAGTATGACACTTGAGCTTTGATTCTAAATTAATATCATCATATAAAGAATGCAAATAACTTTTGTTAAACATTCCGTATGGTTTGATTCATACGGTAAAGTAATTATCCATAAAGAATGTCTATCTGCATTTATTGAGAAGTTTTTGCTCTGGTAAGGACTTTGTCTGTGTGTGTGTGTGTGTGTGTGTGTGTGTGTGTGTGTGTGTGTAATTTTCAACACAGATAATAATAAGAAATGCTTCTTGAGGTGAAAATCAGCATATTAGAATGATTTCTGAAGGATCATGTGACACTGAAGACTGGAGTAATGATGCTGAAAATTCAGCTTTGCATCACAGGAATAAATTACATTTTAAAATATATTCAAATAGAACACAGTTATTTTAAATTGTAATATTATTTCACAATATTACTGCATTTTTGGTCAAATTAAATGGAGCGCTGGTGAGACTTAAAGCATTAAAAAAATTACCAATCTCAAATTTTTGAACAGTTGTCTAAACTGAAATTATTTTTAGATAAAAACACTAATGACATAACTAAAAACTAATCCTAGCATCTAATAATTCACTACATATTCACAATATAAAAAATGTCTCACTTGGTCTCTATAAGGATGTCAGCATTGGCAGGATTCAGCACCGCGTTACAGATCAGCTCCTGAGTCACTGGGATGGACTTGCTCATTGACACACACAGATCGGACAGGTAGTCCAGAAACCTAAACATAAACAGTACATGGAAATATGTCAGACTTCTATCTTTCTTGGCACTCACATAAGCAAACATGTTTAAGCATTGCTCTCAACTTTTGGACAGACACTCTAATCCCACCTTGGTTCACGGTTTTTCCTCACAAGGCTAACAAACGTGTCAATTTCTGCCGCCGTGATGTGCTTCTCCAAGAGTTTGCGGTTGTTGTGGAGGAGGGCCGTTATTGTATCTTCGGCCAACACGTCGTAGCCAATCTGTTTCTGCATGAAGCGGAACTGCTTGGCGATGTATTCCTGGACAGAGGGCACAAAGAGACAAAGTAAATACTTCTGCTAAAATGCAACAATTCTCATTTTTGTTTAGTTTGAAGTGAAGCACTAAAATAACTAAAACCTAATAAATAC